CCCCGTACATCTTCCCTGGCCATTAGATTATTATTGTAAATTATTTTTCGATATTAAAAGCGAGTGCACTATTTATTGAGACGTGATATTAATTTACGTGTTTCCATATCACCTATACCCGTGGGCTATCTATAGTATATTTAATCTATGATACTGCTGCCATTATAAAATTAACGGCGGTTGTTGAGCGTTGGTCGGGAATCTAGGAAAATATAAAACCTATTGGCTATTGATTCTACGATTGTGTACACGGTACATTTTGATAGGTAATAAACCCAATTTAATAAACGCATTTGATGTTTCCATTGACCATTATAGGTTAAAATAAATTAGAAAAACAATATTTTAATAATTTACCAATTTTACCAGTCAATTAATTATTATTTATAAAATCAGAAGTGTTACCGTTACCGAAAATGTAAAAAATCAGTACAGAAAATTTGGGAGTGCTAAGCACTCCCAAGCCCCTCCCTAGTTGCGCCCTTGCCGTTAGGTTAAAAATTTCCTTGTTTATTGCCGCCGGTTCAAGGTGATTTATATGTGTGGTATTGTGCCTTACGTTCTTTTAGGAAGTGAATAATGGCACGGTAAAATTCTGGTTTAGTTGACTTTTTATATCATTAGTGGACGATTTAAAGAAGAAGTTGTCAGAACCAACTAGCCTTACGAGTTCATCACGAAAGCCAATAAAGTCAAGTACGCCACGGACAATTATTGGAGGAGGTGAATTTGTTCTAGTTGGTGCTTCTTCACAGTTATCATTGTTGGAAGGAGCCTGCGGTAGACTGGTGAAAGGATCTATTTGATCGTTGGTGGCAAGAGGAGTAAATCTGTTTGCTGTCGCAAACATAGGTTTTTTATTATCTGCTTCCTGGCCGTTGGATTTTGTTGAGGAAAGATGACGCTTAGCGGTTTTTTTTGGCGTTTCGAAAACATCACATTCGTTTTCAGGTGGGTCGTTGAACACGTCACTAGGCACACTCTGTATATTGAGATTTCTTGGTAGGTTTTTTTTCTCTATATTAGATGACAGTTTATCTTTAGATTTTGATTGTTTGTTTGAGGATACCGCATTCAGAGAAGCCATTGTCGTTATCTGCGTAATTCGATTACGTGTTATTCATGAAGTGGTGGGACCTTTCGCCTATTCGTAATGTTTGACTGCGAGTTATTTGATTTATTATCCATTTTATTGGTGTTAATTATTGATGTGCGTGTACGCGGGCTTATCGCCCGTAGGCGGAACCTTTATTTAGATACCGTTAATTAAATAGGTGTACTTTGGAACCACGTATGATAAATAATAAAAATATAATAATATTACAATATACATACCAGGTGGGAGCGTCGAGACTATTGCGATAAGCGACAGAGTAAGCGAGAGCTATAACGGTGCGCGAAAGACGTGCGGTCTCTACGAACACCAGACACGAACTGCATTTGAAATTAAAACTTTTTCAAATAATAATATTAATTAATGACTCATTATTATTTAGGAGATACAAAATGAAATAATAAACATCGAAAACGAGAGCAATGGTAGTTTTATTAACGAGGAACAATTTATTAAAGTTGAAACCGACAAAAATCCAAGTACACCAAATGAAAATGTTAAAAATTCTTCGGATATTTCTTCTTCTTCAGTATTCAATCCTGAGATTGGTTTGTAGCAATTCTCCACTCTTCCTTGTTACTTGCCTTCCTCTTTGTCTCTTTATAAGAAGTACACCCTTGGTCCTCTATTTTTTTTTCCATATATTCCATTCGTGGTTTTCCCCTAGCATTTTTTCCTTTCACGCAGCCTTTTATGATTAATCGTAGCAACCCACTATATCTCAATACATGTCCAATCCATTAATTTCTCCTTTTCTTGATACTACTCTATAAAGTTCTTTTCACGGACATTCTTTCTAATACTTCTTCGTTTGATACCATGTCCGTCCAACTTATTTTAAGCATTCTTCTGAAACACCACATCTCAAAAGCTTCTATCCTTCTCCGCTTTGTTTTGGCAATCGTCCATGTTTCGCTGCCATACAGCATTATACTTCATACGTATGTCATCAGAAGATTTATTCTGGTGCGTACGCTAATACTTTTTGAAGTAAAAAGTCCTCTTTTTTTGTTAAATGCTATCTTAGCTTGGCATATTCGCTTGACTATTTCTTTTTTACTTCTACCATCTTTACTTATTATGCTTCCCAAGTATGCGAACTCTTCTACTTGCTTAATTTCTTGGTTATTTTGCAGATGTATTCTTGTCGTAATATTATTATTTCTGCTGCATACGAGAACTTTGGTCTTTTGCGTATTTATTTTCGTGCTCAGTTCATTGAGCAGAGTTTCTTCCATATATCTCAGCATCCTTTGTAAATCTTCTTCATTTTCCGCTATGACTGCTATATCATCTGCAAACCGTAGCATATCAATTTTCCTGCCATTTATCTTTATACCCAATTGTATTTTCTCTCTTATTATATCAATTGCCTCTTGGATGTATGCATTGAATATGCTAGGTGAGAGATTACAACCCTGCCTTACTCCTTTTCTTATGCGTGCTACTTCCTCAGTTTCACCAAATCGTATAACAGCTGTTTCCTTCTGGTATAGTTTAAAGAGTAGTCTCCTTTCAGTGTATTCTATACCGCTCTTTTGAGTATCTTGAACATTATTGCCCAGTTGACATTGTCGAACGCTTTTTCTACATCAACAAAAGCTATGTATGTAGGCTTATCTTTTCTAATTCTTTTCTCGATAATTATTCTTAAAGCCAATATTGCTTCCCTTGTACCCATGTTTTTTCTGAACCCAAACTGGTCTTCTGACAATATGGCTTCGATCTTATATTCCATTCTTCTTGACATGACAACTGACTCTCGTAAACATCGGTTGTACATTTTAGCTAGTATGTCAGGAGACTTCTTCCCAATCAGCGAAAGTATCTCGTTAGGAATCGCCCCTCAACAGTCGAGACACTGCTAGCCCGATCTCCTTCGTAGTGACGGGCGGGCAGTCATAACCAGGATTTATGTTGTAACCATCAGCAGTGGTGGTCGGGAAGGTAGGGTCTACTTGACCCTCCAACGGCACAAGTTGCCAGTTAATAATTGGCATAGGAGGGAAGAGATTATCAGCAATCTCTATTTCGCGTCCTATTGCCGCTATCCCTGGTGGCTGTCTGCTCAGCCGCCCCGAAACAATTTTGTAAGGCACGCCCCAGGGATCATTATCAACCGATGCACAGAGAGCAGCCCAGCTTAGTTTTTGTGATTTACGGATCGAAACACGTAAGGCCTTGCGTGCCTCCCTAAAGGCGATTCTTTCCGCTGTGCTGCCATCAGGACCTTGTCTCTTAACCACTCTGAGATATATGCGTCTTTTCCTGATGCATTCGGCTCTGCGATCGGCAATCCCCTGATTCCACCAATGAACTGATTTCCGTTTATGGACTCCATAGGCTCTTCTGGGCATGCAGGCATCACAGGCATTAGCCAGATAGTCATTGAGTACCTCGGCCGCGTCATCAGCTGAAGCGGGCTCCTCCAAGAGCGGTGGTCCCTCATCCAGCTTTCGAGATAGCGCAGCACTATCGAGCTTACGAGAAGCCCATCCTAGATGATCACCCCGTCTCATGGGTACGCCATCATTGAGTGCTTGTAAGTGTGTAGTGAGGTTGAATGCAATGTAATTTTGATCACTTCCAGAGTACTCGTCGAGGACCTCCCAGTCCACTACCTCGAAGGGGCCTGGGCCGGAGAAGGTTACGTCAATGATCGATGTAGACGCCCCTCTATGAAAGGTAGGGTTCGTTCCAACGTTGTTGGTCCAGAGTCCAAGGCTTGCAGCAAAGGATTCGAGAGCTTCTCCTTTACCATCATCTATACTAGAGCCCCAGTATCTAGATTTGGCGTTAAAGTCACCAACAACCAGAAGAGTTTCATTCGCTCTTTCCCCCTGTCGTATGGCTTGGTCAAGACCATCCAGGAATCCCATAAAGGCCTCCAGGAGGTTCGCAGCTGAGTTTCCGTTGGGAGTCCAGTAGCAGCTGAATACTCTAACCCCTTGAAATCAGATCCATGCAAAGCCCGGGCCAGAACCGGACTCCTCCGCCAAAATGCCTGCAATGGAGGTCAGCGCTACTGAGCACCTTCCATCTGAACTGGATGCCCAGCTCGGGTTGGAGGGTGATTTGCAAGCAGCGAATCTTTGCCGCGTGCTTACTCCAACTCCACTGCCTACCTGTCGAGACTGCAATTGTAGATTGCGTCCGGTTGATATTTTGAGTCGTAATACCGAGTAAATCGCGTAAACAGATTTTAGACGAGTTGCATAGTACGCATTAGGGCGTTGTCAAAATGAAGGTAGTCGCAAGATCGTATGTTTGGTGGCCCAAGATTGATGTTCAGATATAAAATTTAGTTAAATCGTGTGATTTTTGTATGCAGCTAAGACAAAACCCTAGGAAGTCTGAGTTAATACCTTGGAATAGACCGAATGGTGTTTGGCAGAGAGTTCATATAGACTTTTTCGGGTCATTCCATAATAGTTACTTTTTGGTAGTTTTAGACGCGTTCTCAAAGTGGTTAGAGGTGAAAGAGATGAGAAATATTACGGCGAGCAATACTATTATCGAATTACGTGAGATATTTAGTAGATGGGGGTTACNTATTAAAATAAATCTACAAATCTTACAGAGCCAAACTAACAAATTCTCATTTGAAAAAATTTAATGCTTCTATCTTCAACTAAACTTAAACCAAATTATAAAGAGATAATATCCATGAAGCAAAAAAATCTAAAATTTATATTTATGTAAACATTGTAAACTGTAAAGAAATAAATATTTTTTAAGGCACATTCTCAATTTTGTATACATTATTTGGCACAATATAAAAAAAGGTTGGCCATCTCTGCACTGTAGCCCATGGTTTACACAGAGAGTGTGAAACAATAAGACCTGAGTATCCGAATATCGATAATATAATAAATTGTGTGAAAAAAGTATTTTTAAAAGCTCCGAGTCGTGTATTGAAATTTCGAGAATTATTTCCAGAATTACCTTTGCCTCCACAACCAATATTTACCCGATGGGGAACTTCGCTAGAAGCCGCATCATATTATGCTGATAATTTCAATTCCATAAAATCAGTGTTTTTGTCTTTAGATGAAAATACTGCGAAATCGATAAAGAATGCTATAGCTTTATTGAAAATAGAAATATACAAAATGATTTAGCTTATATAAAAAGTAACTTTGGCTTTATCATTCAATCTATTTTGAAATTAGAAAATTCATCATTTTTACACTCGATGAGAATTTGGAAATCGTTGAAAACACCAAATCTGAACTTGGCCAAAACAAAGGACCGATCGCTGAAAAAATCGACAAAAAATATAAAAATGTGTGCGAAAAAAATACCGGGCTAAAAGCTATGTTTACGATACATAATATTTTAAATGGCAACAATCTAGATGAAGATTTTCCAAATCTAACTCTTGGGGAAGTAACAAAATTTAGACATGCAAAAATCACGTCGTGTGATATCGAACGGAGTTTTAGCAAATATAAAAACATACAAGGTCAAACAGAAGATCGTTCATTTTCAAAAATTTAAAACATCATGTAATTGTTTCATGTAATTCATTTGAGTAGCTTTATCAATATTATATCAATTAATATTTTAGAAATATTTTTAAAATGTTTTTATATTTTAAGTGTTTATTTCATCATATATTTTTGCGTTTAACATATTTAATTTTATTAATTGGTATTTAAAAAAAATGTATAGAAAATGTGTTTTTTAAATAATATTTATTTGGTTTATTTAAGCATATTTTTATTGCATATAAAGCCCTAGTTATTATTAATAAATGTTTTGAGAAGGCGTAATCGAGAGTTTGAGTTTAGTCGCTTAGATTTAATATGCTGGGCCCAAGTTAATCTGCGATCAAGAGTTAACCCAATATATTTTACTGTTTGAGAATTTGGAATAGAGATACCGTGAGTGGAGACAGCTGGACAGGGTGCAAGTCTAATGGTAAATGTATAATGCACGGATATTGATTGGTTCATTTTCAACCGCCAATTGGTGTACCATTCTTCCATGAGGGAGAGGTGACTTCGGAGATGGTGGGAAGCAATAATTGGGTCATGATTTACTGAAATTTTAGCTTTATTATCAACATAGTTGATTCAAAAACATGATCAAACCAAAAATGTATGCCTATATTAGTTAGTTTTCTTTTTATAATTAAATGCAATTTTAAACAGACAATATCTTAGAAAATACAACTAGTTAAGTGGTGCATTTGAATTTATTCTCATCTTTAAATTTTATTACCTAAATAACGAAATTTAAATTCTAAGTAACAAAATGATGCTATTTATTTATTTACCAGCATATAGGTTAGGTTCTATTAATAATAATCATACAAGATAACAATATTATTAATTAATATTTAATAAGTACTATTAAAGAATATATTATAATTATAAGTACTAACTAATGACAAGAATAACGATTTTAATTTATTGATGCGCAATTGATATCAGTGCGTATAACCAAACGTAATAGTTACCTGATGCACACGGCATACATACTCAATAATAAAAAAAGGTACCTAAGGCGCACGGCGCGATAACCAAACATACAATTTACCTTATGAACATGACGCGCATGACTATACGTAAAAAAGGTAACATAGGAACACAACACAAATGCCTAATAAAAAAGTTATCTTAGGCGCACGGCGCACATAATTAAACATAAAATTACCTTAGGCAGACGGCAAACACCACTAAAATTAAAGAATTAGTCGCATGGCACGTAGAACCAAAAATAGAAAAAGAGATTTGGCGCAAAGCTTGTATAATCAACAATAATAAGATATTCAGGCGCACGGCGCGATAACCAAACATAAAATTTACCTTATGCCAACGACGAGCTTAACCACCATTTAAAATGCACCTAATGCGAATGGCACGTGTAAACATACATACAACTATTATCTTACGCACACCGCGTGTAAGGGAAACAATAAAAAAGTACTTCAGCGCACGACGAGATTAACCAAACAAAAAGTCACCTTATGGGCACGGTGCGCATAACCAATCATAAAAGGTTATCTTAGGCATACGGTGCGCATAGCTAAAAATAGAAAGTTATCTTAAACGCTCAGCGCTCATAACCAAGAAAAAGATGTAAACTTAGGCGCACAGTGCGCAAAGCAAAACATATAAAGTCGCCTTAGGAGCAAGATGCGCAAACTCAATATTAAATACGTACCTAAGGTGCACGGCGTGATAACCTAACATAAAATTTACCTCGTGATTACGACGTAACCAAAAATTTAAAATTACTTTAGACGTACGGCACAAATAATTAAACATAAAATAGGTACATTAGGTGCACAGTGCGCATAACTAAAAGTAAAAAATTACCTTCGCAAAATCAATAAAAATATAAACCTAAAGCGCACGGCGCGCATAACAAAATATCAAAAGTTACCACAGGCGCACGGCACAAAACTAAACATAAAATGTTACTTTATTTTTTGACAAAATATTAGCTATTTATATTATTTGAATTTGATAAATAATAATACCTTGATAACTCGATTGATAACTGACAAATAATAAATATGGCTTTACTATTTACATTGCCAAAACACAAATTTCATGGAAAATAAATTAATATAATTAAGTAGGCCATTAAATAAGTGAGCAGCAAAATTGTTTAAATTTCCACAAACTTCAACAAATTGTAGCCTGTAAATATGAAAAAGGTTAAATTCATTTTTATTGATGATGCTTAATTTTTCACTTTCAGAAAACATTTTGAAGGACTTATATTTTGGTGATAAAAATATAATAAATTTATGTTCATCATTTAGTTGGAAATCAATACTCATCAATTCCAATCCTTTTTTTCCCAATTTTTGAACTAGGGAATTAGTACAGAGTTCTCCACTATCATCAAACACATTTTACTGTAGATTAAAATTTGTAAATGTTTCTTTAATAATGATTGATATAGAACTACATTTTGAATTGTACGATCATTAAACATATTATTTGGTTTTCATATAACTTTTTTTTTTTTTTATATAAAGATGTTTAACGATTTTTACCAATATTTAAAATAGGTTTTAAACCCAGACATCATTACACACAAACAACATATAGGTAGTAAGAAAAAATGCATAAATTATACTTGCATACCAAATCATATTAATCGTATACTTCATTCAATAATGTCCTTTTGAACGGAAATGTTTTGGATGAAAATAATAATTTTCGTTTATCGATGTAGCGTATTGTTGTAATGGTACTAGCGTCTTCAAATGAGGAAAATTAGTTATGACAAGGACTGCCCATAAATACTTAACTCACAATTCTGGTTTGAGAAGTATCTTCAAAATGAAAATATTGGTAAATTGTCATGGATTCAAGATCCGTTCAACTCCATTGCTCCGACTGATTTTGATTCTATTGAAGAGGAAAGTCTTATCGAGTTTTCTTGTGACAATAGTTTGAAGGCGAAACTTGGTAGAATGGATTTAATACAATTTTGGATTTCAAATAAGGATGAATATTCTCTATTAAGTGATAAAGCACAACGAATCTTAATTCCGTTATCAACTACTTATTTGTGCGAAGTTGGGTTTTCGGCGGTTGCAGTGATAAAAAGCAAGTATCGATCAAAAATAAATGTGGAAAAAGAAATGAGAGTGGCTGTATTTAATTCCAAGATTTGAAAAATTGTGCAGTGATTTTCAAGTGCGTCCATCCATTAATTTAATATTTTCTAAAAATTTATAAAATCTTAATAAAATCAAATTTATAAATAATTAATTAATAGTTTTTTATTATCCTTAAAATGATCTATTCTTTATTTTATTTAAAAAAATGGTCATCGGTTTTATCAGTGGACGCCATGAGAAATATTCAGTTCCAAAAGGGCGCCGTAAACGAAAAAGTTCGGGAACCACTGCTCTATACTCTATAGTTTATCGAAATTAATTTGGACCGGCCGGACATAAAAATTGTGGACGGACTGAACCACACCGAAAGAAAACTCGGGCGGACAGGACCGAAGTAAATTCCGAAATGAACAAGACCGAACCATGCAGAGCTCTACTATACATACATAAAAATAATAATACTTATACTGCTATATCAATACATTTTTAATTAGTTGGACAAAATATTTTTGTATGTTATATAATATATATATTATCATAGAAAATTAAGAAAATAAATCAAACAAATCTTGTGTTCACAAACACGTCATCATAGTAAAATTAATAGACGCCGAATCTAAAATTAATTGGTATTATCCATCCAGACTACCTCTAGAATAGCCCTTTGAGAAATATAGTTCTCTTAACTGAATCTTACTTTGAAATCATCATAGGTTTCAAAATCTCGGTCATCAAATAACAATTAAAACCGGAACATGTTGAAGTTAATTGTAACAATGATAACAACGTGTTTTATGATAAGGAACGAAATAAATCTAAAGCTGATCATTTGTACCCATGAAGTAGTGCGTGGTAAACCAAATTAGCTTTAACCAACGTTCACAAACTCCACTTTTGCAGAACTCGACTTGTCTCGAAACAATTAATACTCTACTAGATTTACAAAAGCAAAAGAAAAAGAAAAACCGAAACTTAATACAATAATTTTCAATAACAATAATATGTTTATTTTTATGATACCAAAAAGTTAAAATCATGGCTAAAAAAATGTAAATAATATCATTTACTTTGGTAAAAAAATAATTTTGGCAAAGGGGTTCCCAACCGTTCAAATCCTATGATTTTTATAATTGGCGTAAACAGTTTTTGATGGAAACCGGCGACACCCAGGTACACCTATCTATTATATTTAGGTATTATTATTTCCCCTATGGGATATGCGATTATTTAGAAAATCGTCGTGACGGTGGCAGGTGGCGTTAAAACGGTCGGGAATGGAATGGAATTGTGCGCACGATTCCGACACGAATGGCCCGAGCACGGGGGTGGGCGTACGCGAGCTGCGATCGTGCGCGCGCGCGCACGGGTGCAGCGGCGGTCGACGCGGCAACGACGACGGCGGTGACAGCGACTTGCCAGTAGAAATGAATCGCGCCCGGCGTGTCGACCGCGCTTGCTCTTTTTGGTGAGAGGCGGACCGAAGCGGAGGGAGTGACGGATACCTAAACTTGCGGATGCGCGCGCGATATTCACCCAGTGTGTGTGTGTGTGTGTGTGTATGTGTGTGTGTGTGTGTTTATTTTTACCTTTATTATTATTAAATTAAATAATTCTCGCGTACCAAATATTGTATACGAGTGTTATTTGAAAGCGGTGTCATTTTCGTCGTTAATCGGCCCGCATTGTACCGCAGACCCACCCCGAACGAAAACGCCTGGTCGTCGTCGTAAATCGGCCATATACATACACCGTCCGCTCAACCATTTATAAATACTAAAAAAAAAAAACAAAAAAAAACGATGTCTTGAGTGCGCGTTCCAAAACGAATCCGAGCTTTTGCGACCGTCTATATTATATTGTATACTCAACTTGAACTTCGCAGCAGTACATTATACACACATGGCTGGGGAAGTACTGCAAGAAGTGAGTAATGAACAAGGTTTTTTTTTTTTAGTTTTACGTCAAACCTAACCAACCCCGTCGGAATATTCGAAAAAAATTATATACTTAACTCGTCTTCCGGCTGTCGAAAAAATATCGGCAACCGTATATACTTGGCAAATAATATTTGTATAGTCTATATTATATTTATACTATATATGATTTTATTTTTCGTTTGTCTTTACCGAAAAAACATAAAAAGAACACTACTCGGCTTTACGTTTTATATTTGTTATTATTATTAACACCCCCCCCCCTGTCCACTAACAACCCAACCCCCGACATCTGTAATACCTGATGTATCTAGAATACCTCTTTTCTACCCTTACTACACACAACACACGTCGTATAATCGCTCACATGTTTTGTAAGAATACACTTTGAGTCGGAACAAAACGAGTCGCGTCGTGTGCTTTCGCGCGATCGGTATCAGACGTACACTATTTTAATATACTTACGTACATAATAAACGTACTTACACAGGAATAGTCAAAACGTTATAGAGTACAGAAAAAAAGTGTACACTTGTATGTTTGTTATCTAATAGGTATTGTATCTAATCAATACGTATATTATATTCTTCGCTATACATATCTTACGCGTTGATGGCATTCAAGTCTCTGCGCCGCCGCGAGTCAACGCAAAATTACACATTACTCTGTACACGACCCGAGAAAACTTGTATTTCTCATTATCCGGTCTAAAATGGATGTTAATCTGATTAATGTTTCATATAATTCAGCAAAACCGAAAAAAAACGTAGACAAATAAGAAAGTAATTCAGTTAAAATATGAAAAATATGTTAAATTTGAAATTTGAACAGAAAATGTATATTTGTTTATTCTAGACGTAGAAACATTTTTAAACCATTTTGGTGATTTGTAAACTATTTATATGCATTTTTATGCATTTAAGTATTTATATGCTTGTTTTTCACATAGATTTTATTTGGTAGGTACTTTGTGGATACAATTGTCTGTCTAAACCGAAGTGAGGTTCATTATAAGTTATATTAAGTGGTCAAAAAAAAAAAAGTATAGTGCAGTAATTTTTTGTATTATTGTTATGTTAAAATTATATTTTGTAGAAAATTGTAGATATTACGTCCTTAAAAATCACGTATAAACGTACCTCAGAATCGTTTTTCGTTAGCAATAGTTTATCTTTGCTTACAGGTGTAAATAAATGTATGTATCCTACCTTCTCAACTACCCAACAGTGATACACCCATTAGAAGTATTAATTATTTTATTTATATTATTTAAAACAATTTCATTTTGAGCACCTAGATGGCAAACTAAGATAAGATATTTCGCTGTAAGCTTCAAAAATAGGTTATTTTGTTCTTTACAACAATGCGTTAAAAAATTATCGAAAAACTTTTGATTCTTGGATGACGAATTATGCTTTGTATACTAAACGTTTAATTTTATTATAAATCGAATCGCGTCCTTAAATCTGACGGTTGTAATACCGTCGTAATTGTGCGAATAAGTGATATTCTTTTTTTGATATAAGAATAGTTAATTGCGAATATTATAATAATATTACTATGTTGGCAATTCAAGGAAAATCTGATAAATTCATATTAAAATTTAATTTAAATTTTATCACTCCAATCTGCTTATAAATTTTACCTACGTCCATAGATTTATGATGAAACATCTGCCGATTTAATTCTTTTATTATTTTCAATTTTGTTTCTTTTGTTTTAATTCAGTTAAAAATATTCGTAGAAACGAAATTTTGGCAGAAAATGTTTATTTTTTTTTTTTTAGACGGGGTAAAATATTTAAAAACTTTGAGGTACTTTTGAGCTATTTATAGACATTTTATTTTGTGAGTTTTGTACGCAATTTTTATTTGGTATGTACTCTGTGGATAAAATTGTTAGACTAAATTGGAAAGATTGAAAATTCGACAGGAAGTTCATTATAAGTACTTTATTGTACGTATTATTGTACTTAGTGGTCAAAAATAGAATTTTAAAATTAAATTTTAACAAAAATCAAAAATATTACCGTATAACCGAACTTAGCTCTAAATATTTTTTCGTTGATTACAGGTATAAATTAAATACTTTTAATGTCTTAACTTCCTGACTTCTCACCTACAATAGTGGCACACTTGTCCCCAGTTTCAGCCTTTTTTAATTATATAAATACGTATGTGTGTAGAATTCAGTGAAACTCGGTCGATTGTCTCACACTGTCCCCTGAAAGCTTAGAGTATTGTGCAGTTTCTAATTTCTAACGATGGTTTCCATATCGCGTTTTTTTTTTTTTTTAATCTGTGAAGAGTACCACCTACCTATATTTTTAAAGTCGGGGGTTACTATATGCAAATTATACCGTGTCACGCAGAACTCGTTATGCGGACGACCTAGTCATATTATAATATACCATAAATAATATTCTAATTAACGTAAGTCTTTATACTGTTAGGGGAAAAACCGACCTCTCCCGATATTATTTAAATTTCATGAATTTTTACTCGAGAAAATAATTTCAATATAATATATATCTAATGTTTTCAAAAAAAAAAAAACCGTAGTTTCGAAATGACGAACCAACCCTTTGCCATTAGTAACTTTTAATTGTGTAAATTGACGGTAATTTATTCAACGATGTCTGTCTGCAGTCATAAAATAGTGTAGAATAAATTGTTATTTTAATGATATTATTAATTTTTGGCGCAAAAACCCGTGTAAGTTAAAATATCCGAAATGGTTAATAGTTTTTTTTCCTACTGTGCAGAATTTAAATTATAAACGCGTTTACATTGAACATCATACGAAACACAATTATTTCACTTCATTCCGTCAGTTACAAATATTATAATTATATTACTTACATAGAAAATTAATTATCATTACTAATATTACCACACTGGATTATAATTTAACTCGAAATGTATCGGAAAATCTGATAAATTCACAGAGAATAGTGAAAAATGTGTCACCAAATCAATAACATGCTTAAATTCAACCTAAATTTTATCACTCCAATCTGCTTATAAATTTGACTTATAGATTTATAGATTTATGATAAAACATCTACCGATTTAAGATGTATACACTCACATATGATGTCTGGTCACCAATGTTCGAATATTTACAAATTAATGCTATCAATATAGAGCGATTGATTTAATACAATAAGGTTACTGTGATTTCAGTAGCGAGTTACAACTAGATCGAACGAGCAAAATGTTGCAATTGAAGCTTTTTTTTGAAATTCTTGCTACCCCGATGTTAAGTGAAAATTTCCAAAAGTTCACGTACGCTCCAATAAAATCACTGCCAGTTTTAGTGCTTATGGTGCTTACACAAATACGCTGTCATATTTAAAATAATATATTGCATTATTAGAAATAGATACACTGAAATAAGATAGGTTAATCCTAATATAAGTAGAATAAGTATATACTTTCATTCCAGAAGCTTGTCATAACGTACTGCGATATCGACACTGTTCAAATACAAATTATCGATTATGAAACGGCGTCTCTTAGACAGAGGGAACCGATACATACATATCTATATTCGTATTTATTTTACGAGCTTTCGGTGTATAACATCAGCGATTATGTGTATAGGTAATCAATAGTTTTGTATTCGAATATTATTCAGTAAATGATTAAAATAGTGGTATACATTAGTAGTTGTTAACACGGACCCTATACTACTGTCGGTTTGGAAACTTGGAAATACTATTAAGGAAATTTTAATTTCTATCGTACGGTTTGTGATTTGAAATTTAAAAAATCCCGTGTATGCGGTGAACGTTTATTTTTTTTCATCCTCGGGTAATTTTTTATTCTATAATTCTAGTTACCGCGTCAATATAAATATTTAAATAATCTTGATACTTTATTAATGATTTTATTTTGAGCACTATTAATTAAATTCGTATTTAAATCATATAATATGAAACTTTCAATTTCTCTAATACATATTATTATTATTAATTAATGGGGGTGACTTATATTTTAAATGGGTTTTCTGCATCCTGTATTATACTGTCTGAGCACACGAACTGCATTTGAAATAGTATAATAATTGTTTGAAATGGTTTAACAATTGTCTACAAGAGACCTAATGAGGTACTTGAACTATTTCTTGCTTTTGACAAACAAATATCTAGAATTTTTCTGATGAACTTTTATTCTACGGACGCACCAAAATATACGATTTATTTAAGATTTTATTTTTATCATGAAAACCTCAGACAAATGTCAAAGTAACATTTATGATTACTCATAAATTATTCTAGTTTTAGCTAAAATAAATATACGATTTTTCTTCATAATAACATAAGGTATAAAATATTATATATTTTTATATATTTCTTCGATACAATATTATAATGTCCGGTACGATTTACACGTGCAACTATTATTGCGAACCGCGGCGTTACAAGTTCATAATAGTTATGTATTACATTAACATAATGTGGGTCTATAGGTGCCGGGTCGAGTTTTCTCTAAAATTCAAAACCACAAACCTAATGTGATTGGAACTCCCGGCCTCGGGGCCGACAGACCGGCCAAAAGTGTATCGTACCTGTATATAAAGCGGTACACGTTTGCCGTACTTTTTTTTTCATAATATACGTATTATGTTTTACAGGCGTTATAATAATATTACCGTATGGCAGAAAAAAAAAGAACTTCGTTGCGCAATATATTATATTATAAACTATATTATACTCGGACTTCCTATACACAATAATATTATAATATACCGCTATAATATAGATCGAAATCAAAACGGCTCTCGCGTACCTACCTATATACCTACTCTCTCGACTCTTATTTCCCGCATTATTATCATAGATATGTACTCGTACCTGTGTGTACACATCCACGTATATAATAATATTATAATACACGAACGACGCTATCGATTATATTATTATATAGGTAATGCACCTCTGGAGAAAAAAAAACAGATTTTAAAATATTGTAACTTGTAACAACCTATTATAGGTAGGTACGTGTCACGGTATTATCAGAGTAAATTTCCCAAACTCCCACATGGTGTCTACTTCTAAAGGCACACATATTATAACATTATTATGCGTGTATAGGTTAGGTATATATAATATTGTTATGTGCCAACTTGATGCAAAAACGATATTGGCAATAATAACCTGGCACTTACAATAGGACATATTATAGGTATGTGTACCACCGGTAAACGGCGGATTATATTCCTAAAAAAGATGATATTAATTTTGTAATGTAGCACAAATAAATATAAAATATTTGAAAATTATTTTCAAACAAATAATAATTATAATAATAAACCAATACCGATGGTACCTTTAGATATCTTCTGAATTTCCGTTGTTGCTTATTGTTTTACTACTATAGGGCACGAGTACGGTTCGGAAATTGAAAGTATAGACTATAAGTATCTGCTCTAGACTTATAGTGACCAGATATAAAAATCCAAAAAAAAGTACATTTTAAAATTTAAGTCGTCCATTTTATTATTAGCGGGGTAGCAGGGACGTACAAACATGACGTTCCACCTCATGACTTTTTTTTCCTACAATACAAAACAATTAATGTAAATAATAATATATAATTTTGTTATACAAATCAGCCTTACCCATTCACCCTCTCCTCTATCACAAAGTCATTCGACCGTCATTAAGGGGCTAATTTTTTAACATTTTTGATTTAAATAAAATATTAATATGCATGTCCCTAAGTATAAGAAATATTTTTATTTTTAAATTTCTATATCAATAGCTGTTTATTTACGTACAATTTTAAAGATTATAATATGTTTAATTTGTATATAACGTTAATGCTTTCAAATAGTTTTTAAGGCATGTTAACCTTAACATTGTGAGAAGTGTCACCTATACAATCTCCAACGTATTGGGGAGTTGTAAACCAGTAGCGTAACTCCCTCAAATTGTCCGTATTGTATTTACATATAACCAGTATAGGTACAACTTGACAAAGATCAACAAATCTGAAAAAAAAACTAAAGCTAAAGTTATTCAAGTTGTTATTACAAAATCTCACAGAAGGTTACTTTATTATATTAATCAAAATTCATATTTTAGTATTATGTCAGTAAAATAAATTATTGGAAAACTTTAATAAATATTTGTAATTCCTACATTATAATATTATTATAATTTACTGAAAAAAATTGGATTTTAAATGAAAGCAAATAAACAATCAATCAATATAACCATGTCATTTAGTTATTTAAAAATATACGAATTATTATTATTAATTAATTAATTTATTGTCTGAAAGGTCTATAACTAAAAAAAAAATTATAATCATTTTTTTTTTTATTTTTTTTTTTCTAAACAAAAAGGAATATAATATATATTATTATATTATTAGAAATATTGAAAGGGAAAAGGTCATGGGGGAGGTCAATTCTCACTCACTAACTCCACTCCCCTCCCCCCGTTTGACCGCTACTGTTTTAAATTATAAACCTACGGATTTGTATACCATTATCGTTTATTATATTACGAGGATAATAAATTAAATTATCGAGTCGTTTATCGGCTAATGAATATTCATTTTTATAAAATTTAAATAGGAGTGTCCTATAAACGCGTAGTATTTACTGATAAGTGGTACGCGTATTGCATTAGTTACCAATTTCTATACATAGATTTAGTATAATAATAATATTACGAAACACGATCGACTGCATCTTACAACCTATATTATAATATTATAATATTATAATATTATATCCTATATAATGTAGGCGATTGTATAGTCAATTTAAGTACATTACTGAACAATTTTCCATCCGGTCACACCATTGTTTTTTACTCGGTTCGTCCTTAGAGTGCCTGTAGGTTATATTACAACAATGATAATTCTTCCGATTATGACATTTTGACCGCTTTAAATATTTGTTAGTGTTTTCGGTATTTTTTAAAAATTGTTCACTAGAATCGTAATATTATTATTTTTGTTTTGTTTTTTTTTATTGTTATTAAATATAAGACTACAACTTTGATATTTAAGGTTGTTATATACTTTTTTTAAAAACTAGGGTTTACTAGGGTGTAACATAAACTATAATTATGAGAGGACACTATAATTTCATACACCAAACGTTCTCTATTTATGAAGATTTTTGGAAATGTGGGTTAGATGTTCTCAAAAGAGTTGGCTCATTCGCTATATTATAAGACAAATAAAGAAGTTTAAAATATAACATTATACAAATAAAATGACAATGATCAGTTGCAGGGTTCACAAACAACGTACGAAGAACTGGTCTTCTCGGTACACCTGTCCCAACATCCGGAGTGTGTATTTTAGCACCAGTCGATTGACCGATGTCGAAAATATTTTTTTTCTGAGCCAGTAAACAAAAACGGTCTTTACATGCCCGCCCAAAAAGAACCGCATGAAATCGTATGATGTTATAAGTTGTATTCTCATTCGAGTTAGTCTTCGTAATATCTTCTTTTAATGTCAGGGGAATAGTTTCTGTTTTTTACATAGAGCTTTATTACAATTCCATATGTTTATTGAAGAGAGATAGATAACCTTACCCGGCAGTGAGAGCTGTCTTGATACGATTGAGCATATTTTTATGGAATCCTGAAAGATTATAGTATTATTTGTTTAATATTTCGTTCGTGTAAATTATTTATGTACGGTAATACTTACTGTATTGTATTGAAAATTATTACTTGTATTTTTTTTTTTCAATTTCTCTGTTGGCTACATACATATTATTTAAATAGAGAAATCTATTATATTACTCAGATAATAATTGTCTAGGCTGCAGTCTCGTTGCATGCCGTAAATCATGATATACAGATAAATTGTGTCTAGGTTTTATAAGTACCTATACATAATATAGGTATATATTATATTAAATTATTATTATTATTGTTGTTTATTGCAATATAACTATTACCTACTCGTTTAGCTATAATTACATACGAGTAAACTAACCCGCTACATATATAATAATGACACCTAATAATTTTATTTTATTGAATAGAGTTACAAAACTCAATAATTTAATAATGTATAACGTAGTTTCAATAAAACAAAAACAAAAATCACCGCTTTGTACGCAATAATAAAAATGCCATAATATTACGAGGCCGATATTATTACTACCTATTGGATTCATAAACCTATAGGTGCATAGAATGAATGACGCCTTCTTGAAAACCACACGTATTGTTAAGAAAGATTAGAAAGACAGAAAGGAAGTAAAAAAAGAATATTATATGAATTAGGTCAAATGGAAAAATGCAAAAACAATAGTGAAATTATTGATTTTATTTTTTATTGCCACATCACGCCATGTTAACAGTAAACTACACACGCTTGTGTACTTTTTATACCAAACTTTCCATTTATCTATTTCTATTTTAGTTACATTTTTAGATTCTGAGTGGAGCGCGAAGAACCTTATGGTTTTACAAATATGTTTATTTTTTTTTCTGTGGACAACTTTTCTACCAGAACACTTGCTCTGATTTTTGCGTGTTACAACTTTTCAGAAAGAAAATTTGTGTGAAGAGGTCCCTTAGAGAGATCATTCGATTTTCTCCGGGGTTTTCTCAGCGAATTTGAAAAACGTAGAAAAACCGAGGAAATTAGTACAACATTATACAAACATTAATGAAGTTAATATATAGAGCCTATTTAATTATTTTACTATAATGTGGAATATATATTGTTGAAAAATCATCACAATCAATTAAACTCCGCTCAGAATCGGTTTTTCGTTAGCAATGGTTTATGTTTATTGTTACTTATATTAAATTTCCGCCTGTATCCTAACTTCCCAACTCCCAACCTACCAACCTACACCAGTGGCTGCACCCATCCCCAAAATCTTACCTTTCTTTTTTTATTCGAATTACCTCAAAGACCAATCATTTACTTCGAATTACCAAAAGTTTTAAACCATCGAAGGTTTGGACTGTTGAAAGTCAACTGTGTAACCCAATATAGGTGGTAGTATAATTGATTCACGCAAAAAAAAAAATATTAATAATAAATCGAGTCTCAAGGAAACAAGAAATAATATAATTTTACTAGAATGCAGCTACACATAATACAAATATTATTATATACAAAAGTTTCCCTACGAATTGACCCCGGACAAACTCGACGAACTATTATTTATTATTTTTTTTTTTTTTACAAAATCATTTATCAACTCCTCTAATTTATCTTGCCATCCAAACCTTATTAAATTTATTACAATATCGTTCGAGAACCGTCATAATGATTAAGTACATTGCTAATGCAAAACCCCATACATACAAACACAGATAGGTATGATTGATATACCAATGCGCTTATATAGCATTTCGATTTCTTTATACATTTGATCACTTATTTTTTTATTTTTTGTTCGTAACAATTATAAATTCTGTTACGTTAATACTTAAATCTAATAAACATTCGGTAGAATATTAACCACACTCGAGATTTACGTCCATTTTATCCCGAATTGGAAAGAAAAACAAATTTTTTTCTATAATTTATGTAGAACAGATATGCTTTTTGGTTTTTAGACGAACGAAATATTTTCAAATAATTAATAATATCGTATAGGACGTGCATTCGATCGGAAATTAACATTAAAAACGTGAAATAATATATTATAACGCTACACGTGCACATTTTTTTAATATGCACTAGATACATATATTGTTATATATATTTCTCAAAAAGTACTTTCACGTTCGACAAAAAAAAAACTTACCTACTCGCTCTCTTACGTAGAGTACCTAAAGAAAAAAAAGGGAAAACAAAAAACGAAACTAAGATTCGATATATATAATTCAAAAAATAAAATAAAAATCATATATTAAGTGTATTTATATTGTATAACAAAAAATCCGGTTTCGCCATATGTTAGGTTAGGTACCTGTGTGTATTATATTATGTTATATTGTGTGTCTACACTACAGTTTATAAACTATATCATGATACTAATAAAAAAATATAATAATAATCGAACGGCTTTTTAAAAGAAAAAAAAAACACGTAACATAATTTGTTTCCATTCACTTTTAAAAATCAGGATTTATGGCTACCGCGCGGCATACATTATATTATTATTTAACATGTCAATTATACTATTATTATATGCGGCACTTAAAATGGATAATCAATGTCCGTTATGTGTTTTACAAAGATTTTTTTCTATGTACATATGTATTGGATATAGTGATTTAAACGTGATTTTTTTTTTTTTTTCATATAAGTAATTTTAATTATTATAACGATAATAATTAGTCGTGATAGGTATACAGCATTTATTAAAACTTACCGTTTATGATTTCATGTAGGCACATACGAGATAAAGAAAAAGAAAAAGAAATGTGTGAACAAAGAACTAATATTGCAACGCTTCGACACGAATTTCGGTTGTACATGTTTTAAATGGTTGACATTCGATTATAAAAATTTTATGTACGAGTAGTAATCAGTTTTTAACCAGTAAAGTACAGTTTATGATATAATATTATATGGTATGTTATAGCAGTGGTTGAGATTTAAAAGCGGCGTTGTTTAAATTAATTGCAAGAGTTTCGCTAGACAGGGCCGAATTAACAGGGCACTATAGGTACTGTGCACAGGGCCTACGATAAGCATATTACCTACAAAAAGAGAACTGACGCCAAACAAATAGTCTATTTTTATACAATTTAATATTTGTTATTACATTTTAGAGATAAACATACATGTGTGTTTTGGACAACACACTGTACAGTTTGTTATTATAGAATCTATTATTGTGACTTGATTAGAGTTTTATTATGTTTTTAGTTATGTTGTAATAAATTATATCCGCATTAATAATTAATATTTACTATTTATGAATAAAAATGTAGAAAAGGAAGACATTTCGGAGGTAGGGGTTCTAAGTGTACATCACTGATTGGTACGGTATATTAGAAGCATAGTTGAAGTATAACATAAACTAGATAAAAATCGTTTTTAATAGTATCTATGATATGAAGGACAATTTGTTCAATTAGTACCTAGAGCCTACATATGGTTTAATCCGGCATTGTCACTGGATTATGATCGAAAAATAAAACGCACTTTGTAAATCGATGCAATCACAACATGATCGTTACCGACAGACAATATTATTGTTATAATAGATTACAATTTCTTATTTGATAATTCATATTTTATAATATAGTCGGGAACATGTCTAGATAGCCGTATTATACTTGGTTATGATTATTATTATTATTATTATTAGTGAGTACCAGTTTTCTTTTTCACTATTCTACTCATTGACACATTTTATACCACACTTTAGTATAACATCTAATAATCTAGATATCGCCAATACTATTGCACACATAAATGTATAATACAAAGTATCGACACATATAACTATTTTTAAAAAACAATATTACCGTTTATAGGTTTATATTCTGATTCTACTTATACGTGATTTACGGCACAATATTCTAGGAAGCACTTTTTAACAGTCATAAATTGAGATACATTACCAGATCAATAACCACTATAGTCCAGTGATAATGCTGCCAATTATAGATGCCAATGAGTGATAACAAAGAATAATAATGATAATTTATATAATGCTAACAATCGAAATAATAATAATAATTATTGTTTTGTTTGTTATTATTTTGTTGTTTGCACATTATTTCAAAACAAGTTTACTAACTGGCCGTTTTCTACCTATACGAATTACTAAATGTTTTATTGGAAAAGACTATAAATAAATTACTGGCTATAGTCCTGATTCCTCGACAATGTTTGGTAATAAGGACTACTACAAAATAATGTACAATTCTTTTAGGAATTCATTTATTAATTTATAGAAAATATAGGCCTAAACTTTAAGAAATATAAAATATGTAACAATAATACCAAAGTATAATTGTTAACTTGCAAGGATCTCGGTATAATATTTTTATGAACGATTAATTTGGAAAAAAAATCGATGCAATAAATAGAAAGTTCGAGCGACGTACTATTTAGCTTTATCTTGCACTATACTCATTACCAGGGCTGTGAATTTAATGCATTTGCATGTTTTTTTTGCTACATCATAAAAGAAAATGGATTCGGCCAAAATTTGAATTGTGTTACTAATAATTAAAATACGAAATCTTATAGTGCATATTTTTGCATATTTAACTAGTTAGGGCATATAAATGCATGTTTTTATACTTTTTTCGTATTAATGCTTTTTTCTTAATATTTATACTTTTTCGGTCAATTTGGTCTAAAATATAAAATACATAATATAAAATGTATTTATAATCTAACTATCTTTTATAGAAATTTTATTATTTTTGAACATTTTATTCTATTTTTAGTTGGGTTGACTACACGTAAATTCGGGTATAAATAGTTGTTTTCTTATTTTGCCGAATATTGTCCAAGATCAGTATTATTAATTAATAATTATTATTGTATTGTTGTGGTCTATAAATATAAATAAATGGAAAATAATATTTACCTATATTAACTTGCACTTGATGCCTGATGGACAACAATTGTAAAAATAATACCTATTTCNATATTAAATTTATATTTATATTTATATTTATTTTTTTTATATAGATGCCGTAAATGACGATGATGAAGATCGCAATTAATTTAAATTTATATAAACATGTAATACCCATACATTTTTAACAATTATATTTAGTATTTAAAAAAATATTTTTTGTTGTTTTTTGTATATTTTTGAAAAATTAGTACATATTTTACGAAATTTTAATAGCATATTTTTATGCACGTTTTGATATTTTTAGTGCATATTTTGATATTTTTTAGTGCATATTTTCATGCATATTTTGACATTTTTTAGTGCATATTTAATAGTTTTTTGGTGCATTAAATTCACAGCCCTGCTCATTACAAAATATAAAATATTTAGTAAAATATACTGGTGTTATGAATCACATTAATGTTTATTGAATCATAATATTAAAGTTCCTTTTTGATAACTAAAGTAGAAGCATTTTTTGAAAAGAAGATTTAATACTTCTGAAATCTTCATCTTCTTTATCCGACGTTATTACAATGGATGAATCATTAAATTTAATACTTATATCGAGAAGCTAAAATATATACTTTTTCGCACTGCACACTTTATATCAAATACTATAATGCCATAAGTATCATCATGCCCCCCTCCTCTAATACAGTAGGTACATCTCCCTTAAATACGTTGGTTTAGATTTTCTCAGAGGGATAAAATAGTATATTTGGTTTTTTTTTTTTATATATTTATAAATTAACTCAAAACAATTAAAAAAAATAAATGCCTAATACAACTCATCTACTAATCGTGAATATATCAATGTATTACCTATGAATTAAACATAGAAAATAAGTACCTTTAATCTATTCGGTACCTTCATCACCTTTGAAATAATATGTGATAACTGTCAATGTTTTACTAGTGATTTTGTTGTCATTTAAAATTTTAATAAAGATACATTTTGGAATTTTTTTTTCTCCAATAATAATTATTAAACGTGCAAAATAATTTTAAATTTAAAACGAATACAAATAAATATCATAATATAGCCGTTGTACACTTTAATTCCATACTTCACACCTAACATTTCATAATACACAAAATGTGTCATACTACACACAATTTTAGTCCCTCCCACGTTGTGTCCCTCCGTCCGTATATTTACGGATTACTACAGGCTTATAAGGTTAATAGATTTTTTCAATATATATAATATATTTTTGTCTGATATTTATGTTCCTGTGTATTATGCGTATTTAAGTATTAAAAAGTAATAAAAGTAGGTAAATAACGCACAAATGATATTATCTTTTTAAACTACTGAATATTTACAAATTTTATAATTTAGACATGTGATATGTGCTTATAAATCTACACCTATTAATGTTGTAAAAAGGTAAAGTTGTATATGCTGGAGGTAATAATAACTCATAATAATAAAGTGGGTTATCATAATTTGTTTATTATTTTAAGCAATCATTTTAAGGAATGTATTTATTTTTGTTTCGCCGTGGCTGTAATAATATCGGAGTGCTATACGGCAGTGTTAAAATCGATAAAACCACCGAGAAGCGTGTAGGAAAACCGCGGGCCAATGGTAGCGCTCGGGAAATCGGCCATTTTCCAGGAGCGGCGATTGCTTGCCATTGGCGGCCGCCGTCACCGTCACAGCCATCATACTATGGCCGGAAATCGGACGATACCGGCAAAAAAAAAATTATAATAATAATAAAAGTCATTATTTTTGTTTGATTTTATTTTCGTTCGCGCCGACGACTAAAAATATTTTTTAACCCGACAATAACGATAGCTTTAAAAGGTCTAGAGTAGGTATAAAGGTGCGATTAAAAAATAAAAACCGTAACAGTATATTATTTGATTTCATGGTTAAGACATATTATCAATATATTATTTTCTGACGCATTGTCAACATATCTACCGTCACAAAAATCATGATCAATATAGTTTGGAATTTTTGTTTTGTAAAATTAGACGGAAACTACGATAAATTAACTTTCTTACCAGAAGTTTTGCTTAGATTTTCAAATGTAGCACCTTTTTGAAGGGAATTTTTATTGCTGTTATAGGGGTTTAAAGTCATTTTTTTATTTTCCCAGCAGTTTTTCTGGGAACATCACGAAATCAAAGTTTCACTTGTTACAAAAAATATATTAGAATATTACAGGGGGAGGGGGAAATTCATTACACTCGAATACTTTAATTTATTTTCCTGAATTCTTCTATAATTTTTTTGACGGAAAAAAACAAATTAAGTATTTCAATTAGTCGAACCCCTGCAGTTGCTATTCAAACAGATTATTTTATATCGCACGTGCAGAAATTCGATACCTTCTAAACAATATTTAGAAACAGTATCGTTTTTTTTACTCGCTTTTAAACCAACAGTAGTTTAAGATCTGTGTTTAAAGACTTTAAATTATTGCCCCACTATTGTCTTCATTTATCGAATAATAGAAACACAGTTTTTTTTTTCAAGAATACCAAAATCCCCCCCCCCCTCCGAAATAATTTTGTGTACATTGCACACCTAACCTAGGGCCGTGCGTATACGGTGTTCTCTTTGTAACCTAACCGAAATTCGACCCTCCGAAATAATTTTGTGTACATTGCACACCTAACCTAGGGCCGTGCGTATACGGTGTTCTCTTTGTAACCTAACCGAAATTCGACCAAATTTTAAACATACACGAGTTACATAGTATTATTATTATTGTAAATGATACTATTGTAGCGAGCATATTATGGCATTTCGAATACCACCTGTGCGATGTACTTGAAAAGTAATGATAATAAATCGTATCAACCGGCAATTCAAATGGACTATAACAAAATTGGTGTTGCAATGATGTCGCTGGGTGAAGTGTATAATAATGATATTAGTGATATTACAATAAACCGGTCGCTCCTAATGATTATTGTCGTTATCATATAATTTATTTTGTATCACCTACGTAGGTATGAATATTATCAGTCGAAAAAAAATCGGTCATCACCGTCAAAAATATACCGGATATTTTAGTACGTGCATTCTGCGGGTTATTACTCTACACAATATCGTCGTAATATTATTGTATATCTTGTTGTGTGGAGTACCTTTAATATATTACGGGCATAACTAGCGAATTACGACCGCCATTGTACCGATGGACGCGAATGAAAATAATATAATATCAACGATAATTCGAATTCAAAAAGAAAAACTTTGAATTATCGCGGTAGTCATGGCAAATCCTGTATAACCGATACCTATCTAATATAATAAATATGATTAAATCAGACTTTGATTAATTGCAGTCGACAAACAATATACATAAATATTTAACGGGAGACTATATTTACTAAACGAGTGGCGTTCACGACCGTTCTCGATTAACAAAACCTGATCAATTTTTTAGGGAACCATATGCTTAGTCAAGATCAGAAGCGGACTGGGGACTATTCGGCCCGTTGTTTTAAAAAATAACCGGTCCAAAAGGTCAAACATTTCTTTTAATCAATTTAATACTATTTTTTTTTTTTTAAATTTTACTTAAATATTCTTATTTAAAAAAAAAAATAGGAGATCCGGAACTCTAGAAGCAGAAAAAGGGTACGATCTTTAGATTAGTCACCGCGATCGAAATATTCAGATAATAACAATATTTTTTTACTAAACAAAAACTTTATCTTTATGACCGTAGTCAAGAATATTGCATTATAAAACATTTTTTGGGGGTGGAATTTTGTAGTTATTTTGTGATTTTGGAAAATGTTGGTGATTTATTCCAAACGACTTAAATGTTGAAGTTAAGATAATAATTTGAGTTAGAATAGTAAGTACTTTAGTTGTTAGTTATTTTATAAATGCTTAAAGATATTTAAAGAAATACACCAATCACACGATTGGATTTAATCGTTCTTGCAGACAAATTCATTTCCAGCGAGTTGGATATGCAATGGAAATCATACCAAAGTGTCCCAACTGAAATCGCTAAATCACAAAAAAAAATAAATCTGAATCGCATTTATGGTTGCTGAAACGTTCACAGCGAAAATCAAGAGGGGCCTCAACTAGTATTAGGTCTATAGGTCCTCTAGGTACAGCAGATACGATTTCGGTGTATCAATGGCCAGGGACGTGCTGCAGAGTTCGGGCCGAGTTTCATTTTATATCATAAGAATATTATAATGAATATATAGATAGGTTGGGTGAAGTACGTCGCACGTGCGCTGGGCGAGAGCGGCCTCGATTTTATTTATTTTTTTTACTCTCTTCGGTCCAAAACGATACCGTATAAACGCGATGTAGCGCTGTTAAAAGGTTACATTCCGCCGTCTCGTTTATCGGTTTATACAGGTACCGACCATTATGTTACGATATTATGATAATGACGAACGACGACATTATTATATCGGCGCGCGCACGTCGTAGCGGCACCATGCTCGTGGCACGGAAATCGCGGCGAGTTACGACACAGTTTTACAATAATGTCGCTTTCGGAGTGTTTTATTGTCGAGGCCCCGCGGATTTCAATGCAAAGTGCATTTTTACTTTTTTCGTACTGCTCTAGGACAATGCATTCTGAGTAGGTACAGGTATACGTATACGCATACGCATTATTATTACTCGCAATCCGTGTAACGTGTATATAATATATATAATAAAGGTAGATAGGTCACTACTCTAGAGAAGTGAATTTTTTTATTTTTTTTTATTTAGTAATTTAGCGCTCGATAACCGCTGCTTACCAATATCCAGCATACCGACACACCGATATAAAACCGACATCCGATAAAAAATTTGACACCCTCGAATTGTTATACACCTCGCGGATGTTATTTCACGTTTTTCACCCGATTGTAATCTTTTTTTTTTAATATCGATCTTTTGTCTAATATTGACAGTTCATACGATTTATTGCTTCGATATCCGATGGCATAAAACCACGCAATTGCAAAAATGCAATGGTTGTCCTTTCGTTATTTATTACGTTATTATTTGGGTATACGGTGTACACCCAAAACGCTAAAATTTTTAATGCGTGTAGAAAACAAAATAATGCAAACACGCGGGTATACAATTGTATTTTAGCCTGTTGGATGATAACCATAATATATATAATTTGAAAATTTCCATTTTTTTTTTTTAAATTTATCACTCCGAAAGAACTGGGGTTGTCGCCGTTATTATATTATACGTCTTCGGTTATAAACTGATAACTATAAAAGCCCCCTATTATAATAGTACGTATCATATATTTCAGAATATCGGTGTATATCCAAAACAATATTTACAACTACATCATTGGTTGTATTATAACGATAATATGTCACACGCTATAAAAATGCCTGCATATTATTATTATTATTATTATTATATTACCACGATGGACGTATAAACGGCGATTCAAAATGCGATTTTATTCGACAACAAAATAAATACGTTTGATTCCATGGTTAGGTATTGATTACAAAATACACTCCTTCGGAAACTCATATTGTTGTCTCTGTATTTTTTTTTATCTTTTCGTTTAGAAACATAGAACGTTTATTGTTTTTTTTTTTTTATTTTTTGGGTCTCCGAGTTCACGATATAATAGCTAAAGTCCGCCTCCCATAATATTCTTTGACACCCAAGTAGATACATAATAGGCATAATAGGTATATAGGTTAACCGTGGTGCATAGGTTATTAGGTTACTCGCACTTTCCATATACCGAATAAAACGATCGCGTATCGTTATCGTTATAATAATAATTATATTGCGTTTCGGGTGCCGACGACAACGTTGCAGTGTTAAATAATATCAAATGAACGTCATAGCTCAATGATTGTTGCATGTACGAGTTTATGTGACAGTCAGATGAGGCAACGTTTCGTGTTGTCGAAGTTATTATTATTGTTATATTATAACCTACGATATTATTATTATAAGCGTGCCAGAAAACCAAATTACAAATTCGATTATTTAAACATTATTATATTAAGTCATTTGTAATTTATTCGGTTAAGGCCCGGATCAAATAATTAATTTTTGTCCGATTATTGTTATCGTGATGCGTAATATAATATTTCGAATAGATTTTTGGCTACTTTTGAGTTATCGTACTCCACCTCAGCGAATTAATAACGAATGGCAACATCACCATGCCATGATTTTGACTTGAAAACCCATCAGGTATTATGTTATTTATTATGAAACGATTTGTAACCGCAAACACTTTTTATTTGTAAATAAATTACTACAATAATATCAATTACCTAGACTGGCACCGCCGTTTGCTGACAATATCTTGTTAGCACTTTGCCAATTTTCTGCTCTAACGGGAAATTGTAAAATTAATTTTATTGAGCCGCTAATCGCCTTAGTCTTTGATAATCGTAATGGTATTGCATTTTGAACAATATACAAATATAATGGAAATGAATAAAACGTAAGGTTTGGTAAAGATTTTATTATTTACTATATGGCTGTCCCGCCCGGCTTTACCCGTGCCACATACCAAAATGAAATAATAGAAAAAATACAATTGTCATCACCAAGATAATCCATAAATCGATAAAAATAATTGCATTTTCACACTAAAAATACCCTGCGTCACCCCTTCCCATTTTAGGACCCGATAACGCAGTAAACAATGTAGCTTGTAGATATGGTATTCCTGGTCAACAACTACGTATACATGCAAAGTTTCATCTCAATCCGTTTGGATAAATTAAACATAGTCCAACAACAGTCTAACATTTACAGCTCTATATAAATCCGATTGAAATCGGTCCTGGACTTTGGAAATCCACCAATAATGTAATATTTTGCCAATATTTTCGATATACCTAATACTAAATCGATCAAATTAATGCCGATGAGATGGGTTGACTACAAGTGACGTAAAAGTATAGCCCATACGCTACTCACATATTATTTCAATTAAATAGGTACCTAAAAAAATTAAAATTAAAACTTCTAGAATGTGGAAAAAAGTACTTTTAAAACATTCAAAGTAGGTTTTTTCTTTCGGTTTCCTAATAATATAGTCGTTTTTCGAATAATTCGTCGCGAAAGCGGAAAATAAATTATACATTGTCGTAGCCCGTAATTATCAAATATTATACTGCATCGTATATTATTATTACTATTATTATTGACGATCGTTATACGAAGATCATATTGAATTATCCGTTCACGCCTATATACTTATTATGTATACACGCACTCACACGCTCGCCACATTGTCGACCGCGGTGGAATTCAATAGAATTAGGTAAGAAGTAAAAGAAACACGGGGAATAAACAAGATTATTACTGTATAGAGGTGTGTGTTATTGTAGTCGATTATTATACCGTCTGCGTGTATGATAAAAAATGTGTTCACAATGATATCGGTGTAACATACCTATATGTGCGTAATAAAAATATAACCGTTAATGTAGGTATATTATAACGAAACTGTAGGTATTACTCGATGGACATTTCTATTTTCTATGCTAAACGATGAGTAGGTACAGAGCCGGAGTTCGAGTTTAGCCCCAGGAGCATAGGTATATGCTTATTAGCCTATTGTAAAGTCATCCGAGTGATTTATGTATATATACGGCTGCATCCGAGTTCCGTCCCAAATCTAAAATTTTAATTTAAGGATATACTAGTTCCGTCCGGGGTTTTTAAAATGGACGTACTAATTTCGTCCCGTTTTGCATTTTCTACACTATATTAATATAATACACAATTTACGACTACGGTAACAATTTTATATTATTTATAAATAAAGATAATATTGCTTTCAGTTAACGCAATAAATAATCGAATTTGTTTACATTAATACTTTAATATTATTTTATTTTTTTTATATTTTAACATTGACAAAAAAAATGTATATAAATTATTATTTTTTTATATCGTATAAATTTATCCAATAAAAAATATTTGTTTATGAAAGTATATACTAAGTTTGAATTTTTTATATTTAAATTTATGTATTTTAACATTGATAAGAAAATTTTTAATTGGGATTGAATTTATATGTACCCTTTTTTTCACCCGGGACGGAATTAGTATAAAAAAGTTATTGGGACAGAACTCGGTTGGAACCATATACACGTAAAGAGAACACAATCCCAGTCAATTTTTCGCCCCGAAAATCACACTAATCTCAACTTTTTTTATTTTTTTTTACCACTAAGTATAACTTATAATGAACTTTTTACTAAATGCTTTTTTTTTCAAACATTTTTGTTCGACGAAAACAATTTTTCTACATTAAATCAAATAAAAACTAAAAAAGTTTAAAATAGTAAAATACCTATAAATAGCTCTAAAATAGTCTTGATGTTTTGAAAATTTCAGGTCCTCTACGATAATTTTTAACCAAATTATAGATATAAAAAAAAAAACCATAAACTTTTCCGTTTATCCTACTATTTTTCCCCAATTATTAAGAAAACTATACGGAAAATCGAAAAACGACTAAATTAATATTTGTTTTTTAAAAAAATATACTACACTTACGCAAGAATTATGCAGAAAAACGGAATTGAAAATGTTAACATTTTTATTGAGTTTCATTTTTTCAAATTTTCCCAATTATGAAAACTGCTCGGAAAATCAAAACAAAAAAAAATGAACTCTTAAATCCAACGATTGTATCCGAAATGCATCAGAAAGGTCTTTTTTATTTTTAAATTAAAACATGATGGTATCTATTAGAAAAGGTATTAACAGATATACAATAAAACATACATGATAGAGTAAAACCAATACATCCCTCACTCCACTTAGAATCTAAAACACGATTAATATTCAACTATATACCAGTTTATCTAGCTTCACAATAGCTCAGAATCTTCTTATGATTTCAATTATTTATCATTTCTTTCTATATATAAACTAAATTACATTAATATATTATATTTGTTCAAACACGATATAATTTTCACATTAACCATGTTGAAAAACTTAATAAAAACGATGGTACAAATAATTATCAGCATAATATCAATCATATTTGATTTTAAAATCGTTATAGTGTATAACTAGAGATTGAAATTATAATCATAGAAAGTTCATATGAGTGGATGCACAAACAGTGGTGTTTTAAATAAAACTGACTTCATTTTAAAATTTTATTTTGCATATCAATACATATTTGGAGGGATAAGACACATTTTGTTATTAATACATAAGAATTGGAGGAGGCCTGGAGATGGGGCGTGTGATTATAACTGGATAATAAGTGCGGTAGCTGTTTTGCCAGTCATTGTGTGTGCAAATTTGAAACGCTTTGCTTTTTCCCTAAAATATTATCAATCGGAAGAGCCATGCTAGTTTTTCTTTTTTTGAAGTACCTGTAGAAGCTATTTTTTGGCAATCATTTTAGAAAAAATTAAAGTCCTCGAAAATATTCTCAAACTTAAATTTGATTTTAAGCGGTATCACGTTTTCATGATAATTGTTGCGATTTTTTTGGAACACGCAAAAAAAAAAATAAGTATAATAAGTATATAAAATAAACCGTCGGGAATGCATATTATATAAGTCATTGGAATATAAATATTACGACTATGCTCGGGTCAATGTCAATAATTTATACATACCTACCTAATAACGTAGGTATATGACGGTAAACCGCAGCGGACACACACAATACAACACGAGATTGCGCTAAAATACGTGCGCGCGACAGAAAAGCCGTAACCCGTGATGAAGACGATGTGGTTTTTTTTTTCTTAGCACTTGTTTATTATCTCAAAAACGTAAACAAACGCGTGCACTGATAAAACACAAAAATCGTAAAACTTCAAAATAATGAAATCGTTTATGCTTTAAATATTTTTGATAGTTTTTCTTCATGTTTTTTTTTGTTTTTCCTAATTATTATGAAAACCGCTAGGGAAAACAAAAAATGACCGCCTTAATGTACCAACTAAATCCAAAATCCAACAAAAAAGGCCTTTTCATTATTTGATTAGAGTAAGGTTTATGAAACAAAAATAGTATACTTACGCATCATAGTAAAACCAATACAATTCATCGCTTCGCTCAGAATCTAAAATAATTTTAGGTTAGTTTTCTGTTCGGTTTTCGCGGACAACTGAGAGATAGGAATTTAGTTTTTTACGCACGATGCACCCTATATCCTACATTGTCTGAAAGATTTTTAAAAATATAATTAAGTTGTAAAATGTTTTCATACAAACAAATATTTTGCGACACACACGCTCCAAATATAGGGTGAAGTAGGATATTTTCGTGGCATAGGCGATTTCGTGATATCTATTATTTATTGAACGAAAACTACTATAAACCAACGATTTTTTAGAACAATAAATAATATGCGCCTCGTATTAAACATACAAAAGTATGCAAACAGTGTTTTATTTAAAAAAGTACCCACCTAGTTTTCAAATAGTAAAAAAAAAAAAACAAACCAAAAGCGGCGGCCGACAGTTCATTAGCTAAGTACGCGTTTAAATTAATTAAAATTCCGTCTCCTGTTTTTCCAACTAGACTATAATATATATATCGCATTATACCATTATTCATACGCGACCACTGTGCCACCTGCGCTGCTGCAGCTGACGCGCGTGGGTGAAACACGAAACGAATGTCCGACCTTTGTCACCGCGGAACCATCAAATTATCGTAATTAAATGTATAACCCAATATAGGTACTCGTTTAGGAAAAAAAAACCAAAAACAAACATTTGATTATATTTTTACTACGATACACATGAATTTATTTTTTAACTATTGAAAACTTAATAAACTTTTATCGTACTAACTTTATTTTGCAATTTTTCGGGTACTAAAAAAATGCACAGATATTTTCATTATACGGATTTTCTTCCCGGCAAACGTTTTTCGAAAATCTCAACTTTACTCGCCCCTAGACCAGCGGTTCCCAACAAACAGGCCGCGGCCCATTTGTGGGCTGTGTTCAATATGGTTTTGGGCTGTGGACGCTGGTAGAGGATATAAGCCAAGGGTCAGACAATTTTCAAAAAATGTATTTTATCTATATATTAAAATAACATGTCCTCCTGACTGATTGACTGACTTCATCGCCTAGCCCAAATCGCTAGACGGATCGGGCTGAAGTTTGGCACGTAGGTATCCGCTAAGAAAAGATTTTTGAAAATTTAACCTCTTAGGGGATAAAATAGGAGTTTTTAGATATATTCGGTATGAATATCTAATTGCTTATTCATTTATTTTTGTTTATTCAAGGGATAGAAAAAACTATTATAATTATTATTATGTATTACTATTATTTACATTATTCAAATTTTAAAATAAAACACATTTAGTCCGCCGAAAGTTTTTATACGGCCAAAATCAAAAATGAACATGGGTAAAATAATGATAATACAAATTGGTACGGCCAACACCGGGTGCGGGACAGCTAGTTATAATATAAACGTCTATACTTCGATCGAGATTGATTAATATTCCCACAATTATTACGATCGTTTTCTTATATAATACTAGCTGTCCCGCCCAGCCTTGCCCGTGCCAAATTTTATTATCTTTTTACTCATATTCCTTTTTGGTTTTGACAGTATCAGTTATGAATAAAAACAAATAAATGAAAAGTGGGTAGTCTACCTTTAGCAGACTAAAAGTATTCTGTTATGGCATATATTTTTAAATTTTAAATTACTGTTTGCCTTAAGCATTAAATATTTCTGGATACACTACGTTAAATGTCTCACCTTCTGGGGCCAGCAATTTTTTTTTGCATGTGACACGTGATAGAGCTACGTACAATTGACCATAGGAAAAACATTGGACAGTTAGGTCTAAACTCTAAACCAGCAACATTTAATGTTTGACCTTGTGCCTTATTTATGGTCGTAGAAAAACATAGTTTCACGGGAAATTTGAACTATTTAAACTGGAATGGTAGGTTGGTTGATATCATTGGTAAGACTATATCCCCAGCTCTACAGCTAGTAAGAACCTAAGAACCATACATTCAAGCAGACAGTTTTTTATAGATTTTATTTGCAATCTTGTGCGTTATTAATTACCATAAATACGTTTTGATCAACCTTTTACATTTTTGTCTATATAGTATATAAAGACAACATTTATAATATTAATGCAATGGTATCGAGTTCAAATATCAGTCGTCATTACAATTTTTACTAAATATATTATTGAAAACAAATAATACAAATCAAAAAACATATCCGATTAACCAAAAGTAACCAATATATTATTATTTTAATCTAAAATCAATAGCAACCATACAATAAAAAAAATATATCATTTAGCATTTATTTCATCACCACCACACATTTCTCTCAAATCGTTACCACTGCGACCTCTGGTTGGTACGTCTAATTGGTGGCATTTTGTTAACCAAATTGCGCTGAACTAACTGTAATTAACAAATACTTCTCAAAAAACTTACTCAACAAAATCAAAACTGGATAAATGTTCGGATAGAATATACTGTAAACTAGGAAATGATTAAACATATTTTTTCATAGATACCGGTACATAGATTTCAGTTTTTTGCTATCCATGTTACCACGAAAACCTCTAATTCAAAAAAAAAAATTAAATTTCTGAACTAAAATTACTTATAACCTGAATTTAGGAGATGGTATTCAATAGAAGGTGAATTTCAATAGCTATTAACCTTGTTCGGACGATGCGGAACATTTTACAAAAAGCTGCGTTAAAATCGGCCAAGCTGTTCTCACGTGATGCGATGACCAAGGAAAATAGGGATTCATATATATACATATAGATATACTAGAATATTTTTGTCATTTTATCGTATCTTATAATGCTCGGCGTGGAGTGTGAACACGTTTAGATATACTTAATCCCGATATTAATTTTATCGTAAGAGAAAACAAGGTCAAAAATCGCATTGATTTTATGTCCGTCAAGTTGCCACCGGCACATTATGCTAGGACTTTACAACTAGTATTCATATTTTGCTAGAGCGTTTTTAGATTTTGCTAGGGCCCACAAACTTCGGAAATCCACAAACAAACATGTCGATGCTATCTTTGTGGCTGCACTAGCGCATTGTCCGATTCCAAAAAAAAAATGATGCCAATATATTCAGCCGAATTTGCTAGATTTTGCTAGAACATTTCTGATTTTGTTACGACCCCTATCGCCTCCGGGGGAGGCAGTGCTAACGCAAAAATTTGAAATCTCCTCTGAAGGTGATAGAGGTCCTAGAAAAATCCAAAAATACCCTAGTAAAATCTAGCAAATTTGGATAAATATATTGGTATAATTTTTGTTGGAATTGGACAATGTACCCATGCAGCCACAAAGATAGCACCGGCATGTTCGCTTATGAATTTCCGAAGTTTGTGGGCCCTAGCGAAATCCAAAAATGCCTTAGCAAAATTGATACTAGTTATAGAGTCCTAGCATAATGTGCCGGTGCTAAATTTACAGGCATATTTATTTTAGTTGAACTTAAACCACGTGTTTATAAATCAAAAACAATAATAAACTTCTTTTTTTTACATAAAATTATATTTATAATCTTCTTGTATACGGTACCGTTTTCCTAATTAATGACGTATGTGCAATATGCACATTATAGGTAGGTATATACTATATATATATTTATATATTGGTCATACGTATAAAATAGTTGTTATATTAATATTTGTTTTATTTTTACCTGCATATTAGCTTAGTGGGCCTCGAAGTTTTGTTTTCAAAATTGGTGGTCCGCACAACTAAAAAGGTTGGGAACCACTGCCTTAGACTATTATTTGTGTGTCAAGTCGTTAACGGACGTTAGAACTAGTGGTGGAGAACTATAGACTAGAGACTGACAGTCTTAAAATCAACAAGCAAAATATAAAAATAGATGAATCTATTTCAACCTAAAATACATTTAAATACATTTAATAAACAAAATAAATAGTTATGTATTAGCATAATATACATAATATAACGCCTCGGCATACTTGGTCTTGATAGTCTGGGAAGCATCTCTGAAACATTTTTTAATCGCCAAATCCTTATTACATGTCAGCGACGTGATATTTGTTTATTATTGTACCGATTTTCCCATGTATTTCCCGATTTTTCGCATTTATTGAGAAAACTCTTGGGAAAATCGAAAAGTTACCTCCTTAAAGTAACTTTCCAGTCAGATTTCCTTTAAGAAAAGATGCTATCATTTTAAATCGAAGGTGGTAGAAAATTTGTACATAGAAAAAAAAGGCCATAATATTTTTTTACTAATACCTGCATTTCGTACATTTTCCATTTTTTTTACATTTTATCCCGGTTTTTCCCAGATATTATGAAAACCACTTGAAAAATCAAAAAACAACTTCTTTAAATTACTATGGAGATAAAATTGCCTTTCAGAAAATAAGCTACATTTAATACATCGTGGCAAGAATTTTAGTAGAAAATTTTACACAATAAATCGAGAGGTATTTTGCGATTAGAATAGTCCGAGAGAGCGATAGCTTGAGTCTCTAGGTACATCCAAAATGCATTCGTTTTTTCTTTTGAAAATTTTACCTTGTTTAGAAAAGGCAACTATAAATTTTCTGTCCAAATTTCAAGTCTCTACGAATATTTTTTACTGAATTACAACAAGAAAAAAAATTTGAAAATAAACCTAAAATTATTTTCGTAAATATCCCGTTTTTCTCAAATATTATGAAAATCGCTTGGAAAATCAAAATATGACCACTCAAAAGTACTATTTAAACAACATTCCCTCTCTGAAATGAGGCCGTGCGTATATATCTGAGCAAGATTTATGGTAGAATTTTTGTACAGTATAAAAAAAAAAATCTTAATAAAACCAATATATTCTTCGCTACACTGAGAATCTAAAATAGGTGATTTCACTATATACAAAAATACCTCAAAGGGTTAAAAGAAACAAAATCGATCTTTTTTGAATTGGAGCAGTATTTCTGATAGAAAGGTCATTCATTTACACAATAAATAAAAAAATAATAAAATACTCATACATCATAGTAAAATCAATAGATCCCTCGTTACGCTCCGAATCTAAAAAAGGGAAAAGTTACACAATATATAGATGTACTTAGACTTGAGTAGTTATATAACAATATAGGTTATTTTATTTTTTCATAATTTGCAGTTGTACACCTATCCGCGAGTCTGCTCCCATAAAAAATAATCGTAATCATATTATAATGGTATAATGGTATTCTGTGCTAGTAGGTAGGTAGGTATAGGCAGGTACATGAAGATGGATAAATGCGGTCAGGGTGAAAAAGAAAGAAAAAAAAACGCTACCTAAGTACAATAATTACAATAATACATAGGCGTAAACGAGTATTTGAATACGAGCGGGATTTCGCGTTGGCGGAGGAAACGCCACTCTGCTGCGATACCATTAAGGTGGTGTTTTATTCTATTCTAATTGGCCGTTGTATTTTGATAGAATTCAGTAAGCTAAGACCTACCGGGGAATTTCCTGCAGAATTGTATAGCAAGTATAAAATCACGAATTAAAATATGTGGGATATGGAATAGATCATAGATAATACATAGAGGATAGGACATTCCATACAAATTTGCATGTTTGAAAACCACTATGGTAACTATAACGGTAACACACTAGGGTTAAATTTGATTACTTTCATTTTCAACAATAATATCACGGTATCGTTTATTAATTTTTTCTATCATAGTTTTGGTTAATTTAATATAATGAGTTTTCTTAAATATTAATTATACTATTAACTTACAAAATCGGAATATGTTTACTAAGAAAAAACGAGTCCACAGATACCTTAGTAAAACCAATAACCCCCTCGCTACGCTCGGAATCTAAAACAATAATAACAATAATTTTACAATAACTAGTGTTAAAACAGTTTTCTACATACTATAGATACAATATTATAGAAGAATCAGATTATGTATTAGCCATTAATCTTATTATTGTTACTTGATGGAATTTAAATATTTGACAACCATAGCGATTCCTAATACTAATACGAAACATAATACAAAAATATATAAACAAATTTAGAAAACTAAGAATGTTTTACGAAGTTAGCTTATTAGCTATTAGTAACATTGTTAATATTAGAAAAAACACTGAAAAAAAAAAACCAAATTTTACAATTTGAATTAATATCTTACTAATTGTTATAACTATTATATTAATATTTTAACTATTTAATAGTTTATATTAATCAAATTTAAAAAAAGTGTTTTTTATTATGAGGTATTTTAATATTGATAAAAATTGATACCTATTCATAATTCTTGAATGCAATTATTTTATTTATATCATTAGTAACTAATTCTGTAAATGAATACGTTAACTAATGTGTTATTATTTAGTATTGTGATTAATAAATTCGCGACCTTGTTTGATATAGTACATTGCCACAGTCATTTTTTTTTCAAATGGGAAAATTTTGCGGTTTTCGTGGACAGCAAGATAGATAGCTCGAAAGCGGGATGTATGGCCACGTCAATTTGCCGGCTGCATTTCCTTTATCACAAAATAATGCGAATTATCGCCATTATGTCGATGAGTACCTTATATCTGTTGGTCCGAGTCTAAAATACGCCAGGGAAGTTATAGCGTCCTATAAATCTATACCTAAAACCTCGCCGATGGAAAACATTTGAATTTATGATCGTTGGATTCGAACTCGAAAACATAGATTATTCGGATATCATGTTTATCTATCTAAATAGATGTGATATGGGAATGTTTCCACTTGAGAAAACTAACGTTTTTAGCGCACGCACAATCGCACAAAGGTTAAAACAGCGTAAATTGGCTCAAAACGTCCATTCAGATTTCGGTTATCCTTTATATGATTCTAAAACGTATATCCGACTGAAATGTAAGAGTATTGTTTTTCTGTGTTAATTAGAAATGCATAGGTACGTTTAACACAGGATCGTCGCGTCGTGGTCGTTACAACAATGTATCTCGTCCCGGTAGATTTTTCGATTGTGTTTTTTTCTGTTCCTATATAGATCCAATCGCGGGATACGCGATATCGAGAAGAAAATCGTATACATTTACGAAAATAAATACCTATTATCGATCGGGTATAAATTACCGATAAACAACAAGAAAAATTATAATAAATTCGAGCGCGGTCGCCAGTTTGCCGCGCACGGGCGCGCACACACGGTCGCGGGCCAGTTGTACTCGACGGCGGTAATAAAGTGAGAGGGAAATACTTTTACCCAGACAACGTCGCCGCCACGTGCGCGCACACTGGACTAAAAAAATATAATGATAATACTCTATTATCTCCTCTCGTTTGCGTGTAAAAATTACTGAGTCCAACACAATATAATAATAATAATAAGCGCGTACAGCAGTAGGCATAGGCAGCACAACAACAATATATTATATATTATACTGGTCCGCGCACACGTGCTTTTACTTTTACCTTTTACCATAATAGCATTTATTTTTTTTTCTATCCGTAGTTACACTAATACACACAAATATTTACTTACGCATATATTAGATAGTTTGCTCGCGTGTCATACTTGCGACGCGGATTGCGAGTAGGTATAGTAAATATTTACGAGCGATTAACCCGCGTCCAAACTAGCGCGTACCTTATTGACAAGAGGAAGGATCAAGTGGTTGAGGGTATTGCGTTTTTAACAGAAATTATAGTGTTTGAGCTCAAACATAAGTAAGGGTGTGAATAAAAAAACATTTTGTTTGTTGTTTAATACATTTTTGTTCATAATTATCTTCTGTGTAAAATTATACATCATACATGAATGTATGATGTACCTTATTGGTATTTCAATTAACATCTAATAATCAATAAATGTTATAAATAAAACATTACATAGCATTATTGTAAAATGGGTGTTATAAAACTCTGGCGTGGGCAATAGTTGTAAAACGGACACCAACGAATACCAATGTATCTTTATAAAAGATTCCCCAAATGATTTCCACCCATTGGAATATTTTAAAGAATGGTTCAGTAAACTGAAAAATGTAAAATAAAAATACAGTGGAACCTCGATAACTCGAACCTCTATAAGTCGAATTTTCGATAACGATTTGAAATTCCAAGAAATGCCTAACGAGTCAAGTGGGGAGGAGTCAGTTATTGAAGACGATGGCGAATTGGCTTTACCTAAAACTACTCTTGCCCAGGCATTAGATAGTTTACAGGTTGTACGTAAGTACATTCAAGAACAACAAGAAATTGGAGACGAGATTTTTTCCGCGCTAAACGTTATTGAAAACTTTACAGATAGGTCAAACATTAAGAAACAATCAAAAATATCTGATTTCTTTAAAAAATAGTTCTTTTTTTCTACTTTAGTNACATACATTATACATTTATTAGTAAATACATACATAAATAAATAATTAAAAAATTGAAGTCTGTGTTTTTAAATAAAAAAAATAATTTCAATAACTCGAATTTTTTTTTCGCCCCCAACCGATTCGAGTTATCGAGGTTCCACTGTATTTTTAAATGTTTTGACTCGGACCCGCCAGTGCACGTTATAAACTCAATCCGGTTAAAAAAATACGATATTTTTTAAATTCAATTTGATAATATTTTACTGTGTGCAAAGTTTACCAGAAACAATTTTTAATTTACCTACATCAATAGTAGATAATATCTATACTTAAATATAAATCGAAATATTTATATTACATTAAATATATGTTTTTATATTTTAATTTAAACCATAATGGGTTTATAGTTTTAAAATGTATTGGCCTTCAAATCTAAATCGCAATAGAGTAACCTATCTAGGTAAATTCTTCCGTGAAAAATATTAACCTCCGTTTTGCATAATAATGTTTATGTATGTATAATATTTTACACAAATAAGCGATGTAGGTATACGGATATACCATGAAAAAAAGTTAGACAGTGTTTTAGACTCCGAGCGTAACAAGAGAACTATTACAGAGATCTTACAAAGCTGTTTATTTTTTCTATTTTTCTTCTTTGTTCTAGTCTGTGGACACGTTTTTTTCTAGAAAACTTGCTCAGATCTTTACGAACGGAAACTTTTCTGAAAGTTCAAATTGTCTAGATGATAGGTACTTTAGAGAGGTCATTTTTTGATTTTCGACACCATTTATAAATAAAAGCATTTAAGTGGGAAAAAACGTAGGGAAACGTGCAATTTCACGATTTCATTATTTTATAAAAATACGGACAACGTTTTTTTTACCAGAAAGAATGATTTAATAGAAAAATCACACAATACTTTTTTTGTTTTTTTTTTTTTTGATTTACGGTATCATCACCAAGATTTTTGAGCCACTCTTGAGCTTATATGGAATTTTAATTATCGGGAGTTGTTTTGCTGTAATTCGGTTACAAATACATTTAGATACTTGAAACTTGGTAATAATATTTTTCATTGGACTTACCTAGACGTGGTTATATTTTAAAAATCATTTTCATCAAATCAATCAAGACTTTTTTTTTTTTTACTCTTTTACAATGGTGCTTTATTTTTTTTTATACTGTTGGCCACTTATATCCTAGAAAACTTGCTCCGATGTACAAATGTAGCATCTTTTATGTATTTACATGGTAAATTCACAGATCATTTTTTGATTTTAAAAACGGTATTTAAAATGAAAACGACTAACAGGAGAAAAAAATACGATTTTTTCACGATGTCGTTATTTTAAATAAGTACCCACCACGTTTTCTAGCACAAATATGGCTCCAATTGAAAAACAACAAAAGACTATATTTTTGTTGAAATTTTTTTAATAAACGTTTTGAAATCAAATTTAAACAAAAATCAAAAAAACAATTTTAGCACTTCAAATTATGTATTACCGGACTGTGCTCGGAATCGTGTTTTTTCAGCAATGGTTTATCGTTGCTTACAGATATAAATGAAATAACCTTATGTATCCTACTTTACCAAATTCCCACCTTCAAAAGTGGCTGCACCCAGCTCTTTTCCATTGTATTTTAATTATTGACTTATTTCAATTCGAGTTTATTTACACATCATTAATAAATATTATTAGATATTATAGTAGGTACTCGTATAATTATTGACTATGTAATCGAAATTAAATATTTTAATAATCTCTACGCAAATAATATGTATAAATATAAAACATAAATACAATACATATAAATTAGTTAATTAACTTTATTTCTTAATACAGAAGTGTATTTTTTTCAGCTACAAATATCTATAAAAAAAAAATTATTGTTTTCCATGAATAATCATTAATTTAATATACCATTACTTAATTCATACTGCAGATCGTCAGGTAAAACTGATAGAGTTTATGTAGTAGCGAGAACACAAAAATCACGAGACGCCCCCCCCCCAAATGAGAACGCGTTATATTATACTATTCTCATCTAAAAACTAAATTCAAAATAACTTATGTTATATTTTTATAGTGATATCAGAGATCATAAGCATTGTCTCGTTTATAAATGATTGCCAGACATGGACGATAAAATTAGAATCGGTTATTGGGATAAAATCGGAGTCCGAGTTGTTATATAATATATATAGGTATTCTATGTATAAAACACTTATATGTTATCTGTCAGTTCATTTATTCATTATTCTCCTCGGGTTTTTCATGTTTAGTGAACACTTCATATTAAAGCGTATTGAGGTTATATTTAATATCTAAAATTGTCGAAAATTTAATTAGTAGAAATATCGGATAAATTAGGTTATTAAAAGTGAGTCTATATTTATATCGCAATGATTTGATTCGCAGTTATGAAATACTATTTGATCGGAAGATACCAAACGGAAATATAATTCTCCGGAAAAAAAAAAAAGTTAGCCGAAAATAATTCTTATCGCTGTGGAGAGATCGCGGGTCGTGCTGTATCACACGACAGAACAAATCGAATATGCCCACCGGGCATCGTAGTATTATATATTATTGGAAACTAGTAATTATTATCAGGTATAGTTTTCGTTCCGTTCATTTCCTGTTTGCATAAACAGTGAATGTTTTAATATATTTTGTGATTTATCATGAACAAGCTTTTACCATTTGTCTACCTCTACTTCTTGTACCATACATGAGTATCTACAGGCCCGGATTGAACCGAGATAATCTCAGTAGATCACGAAAAATCATACTTCGTTTTTAATTAAATTTGTATTAATTTCATCTATTTTGTATAATTTTGGAGCAGTGAAAATCTAAAAACTCGGTTGGCCGATGCATTCCCTATCCTGAATTGAGTACCTATACAATTTTTGATTTTGAAAGGAACAACTAACACTTTTTTTAAAACCAGATTTGAATAGAGAATATTTTTCTTAAAAAATGTTAAGTATATAACACTAACATAAGATTTATCGTTTATGAATTTATAACTGTATAATTTTAAGTTTAAACCAGAGGCGTAAAAAAGGGTTATCAATTTATCATCTGGAAATGAATATGAAGTTTATTCTTCCGTCTAAATTTGAAAACGCACTTGAAAAAAAGAACAGAAACTAAATTCGCTTAAAATCTTCTGACATAAATCGATAGTATTTGACAAATAGATAACTATGTATTTTATACTTTAATGAGGGGGGGGGGAGATTATCAATGCGTGGGATATATTATGTATAATGAATTACTCGATTTATAACAACCAAATATATTATTATGATATATCATGACGATATATTATTTGTATAATTTGACATTTGCTGAGGGGCTTAAATGATTTTTGAAATGAAAAATTAGATAGGTATATAACTCCGTGATAGAAATCCCATAGAGAAATGTTAATATTAAATATGCGTCATTTTAAAAATATTTCACCGTTGTAAGTGTTATGGATTTCGAGCGGAATTCGTTTAGGCATCATTTTATAAATTTAAATATATTATTAATAATAAACGAATTTTAATTGTGAATTTGAACTTTAAAATAAATAACAATAATTTAAAATATTATGTTAGAATGTTTTTGTCACCTTGAAGTTAAACTCACGTTTGATCTTATTGAGCATTTATACGAAAACAAAATAAAATTATATCTCCACATTATACAAATAAAAGAAAAACTACAATAAGTTTCAAATAGGTAGATGAAAACTCAAAAAAAATTGAATTTTAATTTTAACTGTGGGATCTTTAAGTATGCATATTGTATAGAATATTAATTAGTTTAACGATAAAGCAAGAAATCAATTACAATTTCGTTGTTAACACCTCGTAAGTATTTAGATAAATTTTCTTCAAAATTTACACTAAAGTTGAAGTACGCAAAAATATTGATCTAGAATATTCTAACGTGATAATAATTTTTAAATTTAATTTGAATAATAATACCTATTGAAAAATGTTAACTTTATATAATTAAATAATAAATAATAACATGACACAAATACAAACAATACAAATAATTTAATTAAATATAAGGAGAATGCTATTAAAAGTGTTAAGAATATTCAATTTATCATACGATTACTGTAGTCCCTTACTATTTTAAAAAGACGTTTGTCGAATCAATATATATTTATTATTATTTTTTTTTTTTTTGATGAACTTTTGCCTTTTTAGCCTGACGAAAGAAAGTGTCTCGGCCACTTTATATTATCCTTAAACATGTAATAAATGTTCATAGGGTAGGATTGCACCTTCGTAATGATTATTCATTCGACCTCCTTCATTGAATACTCGATCATATACGTTTTGAATTATATAGGGATAACGTGAGGCTCGACGCTAATTTATTATAATTGTACCGATGAAATTTTTTCCACGCCATCCTATAATAAACTAATACTACCTATTGTAAATGTCGTCAATTTTAACAAACGTTAAAGCCAAAATATTTTAATATAAATTGACAATTCTGCATTATTTTTATTATTTAAAAATAAATTCAATTCACTTGTTTTAAGTCTAACATTTTTTTTGTCAAATGAAATGAAATAGATATCCATAAATTTAAATTTCGGGGTAGCATAAACTATAAATTAACGATGATTCAACGATTTATATTAGAGATTTATTATTTATTTACTATAAGTTAAAATAACGGCAAATGTCAATAATAGATGAATTTAAAAATTAATTTTGTACGTTAAAATGGGCTTTCTGCCCAAATTATATCATCTCAAAACGTCCGGTACCAAAAAATATGCATCATAGAAAATTTTGTTGGAAAATATGAATTATTGTAATTGAACTTTAATGTATGCCCTTACGGCTCACTTTGCAAATAATTTTTGTATCTTCCCTTCCCCCTCCAATAGAAATTCCTGAGAACGTCACAGAGTGCACGAATCGTGCTTTTATTTTGGTCTTTCATAAATAAAATGTTTATTTCCAAAAGATTATTTATAATTTTT